GAGAACTATATTTTTTTTATTTTTTTCCTACAAGCTTCATAGTTTTTATTATTTACTTATTATTTATTATAAAATTATTATTTGTTATATATTTACTTATTTATTATGTTATTATTTACATAATATTTATTAATTTACATAATATGGTAAAAGAAATATAAACAAAATATTTGCATTTAGGATAAAAGGCAAATAGCAGTCTGGATCCAGTCACTGATTATTGCTAGAGGACACAGGTGTTCTTAATGATAAAGCATGGAAGATATCCACAGCCAGTTAAAAGAGAGGGTTTAGAAGAATGAAAAACAATTACTTCATAAAATAAGGTGAATTCAGCAGAGTCCTTGTAAAATTTTTAAGCAAAAGAATCCCACATCCCTGCCTTTATTGTGTTACTTCAAATCCATCTGTATTTGAAAAGTACTTCTGATTCAGTTAAAGCAAGCATTTCAGAAAACCTCAAATACAAGGCCATGTAGAGATAACCAATAAATGTCAGTAACAGTTTCAAACTCTGAGAAAGCAATGCATCTGTTGAAGAAACACAGAGCCTGAGAAGCCAGATTTCATTCAGTATAAATTCTGCTTCCCTCTCCATCTCAAACCTTGCAATACCTGAAAAGGAATAGAACTACCACAGTTTTGTTGAAAAGCTTAAGTGTACGATGTTGCAAATAGCTTTTCTGTGCAGTCTGAGGACAAACACAGCAGCCTGGATAGCTCACCCTAAAAGGATATAGAAGCCAGGCAGATCAGCGGGCCAGATCTGTTGGGTGGGCACAGGCAGGCTGGCAGGAGCGCTGTGAGTCAGCTGCTGCACGCCCTGCACCAGGAGGGGGAGGAAGGTGTCTAGCCAGCTCCCTGAAGCCAAACCAGCTACATGTAAGAAATAACAAGACCTTAGCTCTTATTCCTGAAACATGAAACGGATTTAAATGCCTTTATTCACAAGAAAGATGCTATTGAAGCAATAAGGTACCCATAGATATTTGTTACTGTGTAAGGAATCTGTTCGTACACATGCAAAAGGACAAATTTAAAATTTCTTGCTTAATGAAAGAACAGAAATGTTTTCTCACAGTGCCATGCCTTAGAGGCGGAGTTGTGTACGTGTACATGAGCTGTCTCTGGCTGTGCTCCCTGAGAATCCTTTTCCTTTATCTGCATGCACATGGTAAATTTCCTTAGAATTTATAAAACCAAAAGTTATTGGGAAGATATAATTCATGGTACATTGGGTTTTCAACCTGCTCACTGACTCACAGGAAGAATACGAGGACTTTCAATGGTCTTATCTTTAGAAAGGATCATTTGGTGAAGTAATATATGCTATGAGTCTGTAAGATTTTTTTTTATTCTTTTTTTCCTTTACACACAGAAATGCACATTTTATACGTTTTGTGAAATTTTGTTATGTACTGTTTTATACTATATATACATATATGTGCAGTGATTCAGTGCAGGATAACATTCTTTGATAACCTTTCTTTTTATGGAAATTTTTATGTGTTACCTTATTAAGTAAAAATTGTTGCATGACTTCGTTCATCTCTGCCCTATTTTTCCCATCTCTCAGTATGAGCTGTTCTGAAATTATGTTCATGTACTAGAAGACAAAGTGCCAAGTACCTAATTTAGTACTCAACAGTTCCATCCAAATTTCAGTTGTTGTTTAACACCAAATACTGTAAAGCCAAAAAGCTCAAGAAATCCTTGCCTCAGACTTGAAAATTATCAGCACTTTGGTTTAGACAGTACTACTGATACTCTGCTTAAATAGTACCTTATTACCAAAGTGGCCTGAGTGACTTTAACAACCTACTTGTAATGCCTGTGACCTCCTTGAATGACGTCAGCATTGCCACCTGATTTGCATGACTTCTGATGCATGTGTGCAGAGAAGTGACACAGGAAGCCCTAGGGTTACAAAATACTTGGAAACAGTGCAAAACAACGACCAATGAGTGGGATTTTAAAACACTTATGTGGATTAGAAACAAGTCCTGTGATTAGCTTCCAAGAGTTTTGGATGTGTTTGAAAATCCTGGCCATTCTGACTAAGCTTACAGAAACATTTTAAGGTTAAAGATCAAAACAATGAATTATATTTGAGACCACTTTTTCAAAAAGTATTAAGTTTGCACACAACAATGTTGATAAAGCAATGAGAAATTACTTCCACACGTTCCAAAATAATTTACTTCTCAATTATAATTACAGATGTAATTCCTTTCTTTGGTGAAATTGTTATTTTTTTAGCCATGAAATTCTGTCCTTCTTGAAGAGGATTTCTGACACATGGGGTGAACACCATATACTGAGTAACGGAACACCAAGTAACACCTTATTGCTGTAAAATGACCACTCTTCTACACCAAAGGTTGCACTGGTTGCATTTAAGACTCATAAATGCTTAATAAATATAATAAACTATGAAGCAAGGAAGCTTTAAGACTATCCATAGACTAGCAGACACAGTGATGAATTTTAAACAGCCTAGGCATTTACTCTTAAGAATGGCTTTTTTTTTTTTTTTTAAGAGAGAGAGAAAGAAAGAGAGCAAGAGCAAGACAGCAAGGAGTTCTGAGTTATTGCCTCTAAAAATAATTCATATTTTTTATCCTCTTTCGATTCACTGTGTCTCACAATGATTGTGATTAGTGTTAGTATACACCCTGGAAGCCAATTGCTGTTTATAAAGTTAGAAATCCAGCCTGTAAGAAGATGAAACTATTTAAAAATATGTATCTAAACTCTGTAACTGACCAGTTCTTAGATCATAGGTAGATCTGCTATTTTTACACTACAGAAAAAAAACTGTTATTGAGACTCTCCTTTCAATATATTCCCTTTCCAAATGATCCCAGTTTGATCCACATAGGAAAAGCAAAGATTTGTGGTTTTTTTTTGTTGTTTTTTTTTTTTTTTTTTTTTTTTGTTTGTTTTTGTTTTTTCTCAGGAACACACTTGTTAACTCTTCCTGGTGAGAACTGTGCCAGACTCCAGAATCACCCAATATGGGGAATGTGCCCAAAAGTGTAAAGCCATCTAAGACTACACTGCAAAAATCCTGTTCCTTGATTTTTGACTTTTGTCATCATCTAACCACCTTTATCCTGTCAACATTTTGCTATACTTGCTAGCAGTTCATTTTGAAGCTGGAAATTATATGTAAATCTAATGTAAACAAAAGAAAAGTTGGTGGTACTGCATATAGTTTTTTCAATAGGCAAATGCTAATAAACCCCATGGCCAAAGAGTGAGCAAGCTGCAGGGAGTCAGTAAGTAATCAAGCTTCCTGAGAAAAGTCTTTATTTCTTTATTTATTATTCTTGTATGCAAGCAGAAGAAGCAAGCAGTGCGGTTCTGGCACTGCTTGAGAGAGCATTAGGCACTTCGTCTAAGAGTCATTCAAAAGCATCACTGATGACCAGTGCTCTCTCTACTACTTCCAGAGTTAGCACTTCAGAGTCCTGTTTTTATTCAGAACTGTTATGCCTTGTATGATAACCGGTATGGTGAGCACAGTAGTTTCTCTTCTTCAGCAAGCACCACAGCAGTAATCCCTGATCATCCTGAGCCATCCATCACCAGAGTAAGCTGTAGACAACCCACCAAACCTGCTCTGTGGGATGGCACAAGCACCTAACAGGACAGGTAGGTTGGTGCTCATCTCCTTCCCCAGCAGGCACAAAGGTGACCTGAGGCATGCCCATCTCTGTTCTGCTGTCAGGTGCCTTCCCACTGAACCTACAGAGACCAGCTCAAGATCCATACCGTTGTTATGTCACATGGAGACTCAAGCCAGAGCTGGTAGACCATTTTTCTGCATAGAAAGGAGCATGTTCCCCTTGTACTATGGGGGCTCAGGGTCTGTTGACAGGCAGAAACTATTTCTTCTTTGCAAGCTGTAATAAATTCCCGAGGAAACTGTGTTGAAGGAATGTGTGCAGCAGGACACTGACCACAGATAGCTTTTCTTCCCATGAAACATTTCTGACATTTCTCAGGTAGCTAACCCAAGTAATGCAGCTTTTAGGCTTCTATTTTATTTTTCTCAAGAAAGACCTTACTTCCTCAGTAGAAAGGAAAGGACAAGTTATGAAGTATTTTTAGAAGATAAAAAGTAATTAAACAAAGTAATAAGTCACTGCAGAGCTTGCTGTGGGACGTGCAATCCAACAGCTGATAATAGTACTTAGAAGGATACAATGAGATCAATGTCTTATTGTTTCCACCTGAGCACAAAGCATATGAAAAAAAGACACAAAATACAGTTTCTTCGGAACCTTGCAAAGATTCATACTACTGTCTCATTACAGATATGTCACTCATGCAAAGACCTTTGTAAAACAAAGGTTTTATCTTTAAAAACAAAATAATTTTAAGTGATGAACTTCAAAGTTATTGCCAACATGAGATAGCTATTTACAACATTGTTTTATACACTCTTTGTGAAGTATGATCATAATGAAATTTAGGTGCTTCAAAGCCTGTTGCCCCCACAGAGTGCCAGCCTGTGTTGGTCATTAAATGCAATCTCACTAGTTTGGGCTACCTGGGAACTTGAGTGTGGTTTCCATTATGAGTGTGATTTAAGGCTTTGTTGCAATTGTTTCAGAAGATCCAATCTCTCCTTGGTTCACGATTAAAAACTATCATTTGTGTTTAAAAGAACATTGCAAATTTTTATGCTAATAGCAGGTGAATGTGCTACCTTCAGAATTCATTGAGTGGTAGTTCACGTATTGAATACTGTAGCAGATCTTTTGTTTGTTTCTGTGATGTTTTGAATGTGTTCTGAATGCTTATGTTTCTGTCAGTTTCACTTACGAAGCCTTCTAATATTTATCAACATAGGAGGGACTTTTCCCACTGTTTTGCCAACATGAATCTGCCCGTATGACAAACATGTAAGGCTTTAAAGTAGTAGATAACTTTGCTGCTTACCCGTGAATACAACGATACCATCTTGTTATGATCATAAAATGCCACATAGAAAACATTCACCGTTTTTTATTTACAATTCATCATTGCCAGCCTACACTAACTGTAGTGCCTAAAGTTATTTACTGACTTACAATATGTACAATTTATGAAATGCAATGGTCTGCAACGTATATCTCTGGTTACTTATGCTAGATAGTGCTAGCTTGTGCTAATTAACTCTTCACAGTCATTTTTGACCTGCAGGTAAAAACAATTGTCTATCTACTGCATGGAGATGTAGAAGCAAATAGCAAGCAAGGCAGCAGAGTAAATCATTGCAGCTGGAGGATTTCCAGCCTGCCTGGTGCAAGGCTGTGCCCAGCAACACTAAGTGGAGCAAGAGAAAGCTGTGGGAGGCTCCTCTGAGTGTGGCATGGGGTGCTGCGCAGGATGGCCACCATCACACCTGGTGGCACCTGGGACCAGTGTCATGGTGAGGAGCTGCTGCCCACTAGAAGTGTGTGTGGGGGTTGGTTTGGTTTTCTTTGATGACTGATTTTTCTGGAAGTGCAGCAGCTGAAGCTGGAAGCAGTAACTCCATTGTGAGAGCACGGCTCTGCCTGTAACAAAGGCTCTGTTGTGCTGGCACACAGCACAGCTCCCAAGGCTCAGGATGTTTTCAGCCTATTTACTTCTATTCATAGTTGAGTAAATCTGGCATGGCTGCTGGAAAATTATAACATATATGCAGGCTTGTTTTGATCAGATTGATCCTTGATACAAAAATACACTGTGAGTTCTTTTTACTGGCAGTTTGCATGGCACAGGCCACTAACTACAACTCTGAACTTCCAGTATAACTTCAAACAAAATTATTCATCTCAGAGTCTATCCTAGCAAATCCCTCAGTGGAGGAGACATGGACAATTCTTTATCTTCAGCTCTCATACGTCCGATGGGTTGTGTTCTCTGAGAGAGGGACAGCTTTGTGACTCAGCGGAGGCCAGGGATGAGGTCAGTACCACAGATGTGCTCCAACTGGGACGCTGAGGGCAAGTCCTACAGCAGATGTTGACTGGCAGCTACAGGGAAAGCAGTGGTGCTTTTGCAAACTGTTTTAAAGGGAGAAACCAAGCAGTTGGAGCCTCTGTTAGATACAGTTCTCATACTTGGATTGAGATATAGTAATAGTCAATCATTCTGCAAATAACAAGAGCAAGATTATTGTTAGGATGAAGTTTGTAGATACTATTTTTTATTATGAGCAATTACGTTGCCCAAAAATGATGTCTTCAGCAGGAGATTTAAGACTGACAGCAACTTGACCTAGGGCAGTTAGACTGAAAGCAAGACGAGTCCCGGCTGGTTTTCTTCGGATTCCTTTCCAGCTTGCACATTTGTGCTTGAATTATTTTAGTCTTGGCATCATGTAGTTTCAGGATGTGCATCCAGGATTGGGTCAAGATGAGAGGTTATCAGCTGCAGTCCGGGGAAACAGATCATTAGCTGTGTGGTGATGGAAACACCGCTGTCAAAAGGTCACAACAGGTGGAGGTAGCAGATAACGGCTCTGCCCACGCCTTTATCAAAGACCACTTCTCACCTGCGATCACCCCGATCAGCTGGCGTCCAACACCCCGCCCGCAGGCTGGCTCCTTACAGGGGCCCTCAGTAATTAACGAGAAAGGGGCAGCACCCCTGGCGGCACCTCGTTTACCGCAGGGTGCCGGGCCCCCTCAGCCGGCCGCGAAGGGCCGGGGCCAGCGCTCGGCACCCCCTAGCGGGGCGGCGGCCGCGCATTGTCTGCCGCCGGGGCGGGGTGGGGCTTCTCCTCGCCGGCTCGCGGCCGGGCCGGGACCCGCGCAGCGGCTCGGAGGGAGGGAAAGAAGGAGGCAGGGAAAGAAGGAGGCAGGGGCGGGCGGCTCCGCGCCCCGCAGGCGGGGGCTGCAGCGGCGCGGGGGCGGCCCCGGCAAGCCGCCGTCTCCTTGCTGGCAGGGGAGGGGTCGGAGCCGCCCGCCCCTCGCCGGGGGCCGCCGCCGGGCCAGCGAGGCGCTGCGAGCCCGGCCGGAGCGGGCGGGTGGGTCCCGGCTCCGCCCCGCGTCCGCCCTGCCGCCGGCCTCCAGCCTCCAGCCCGGCCGGGCCCCCGGAGCGCCGCAGCCCGGTGAGTAGGCGCCCGGGCGGAGGCTCTTCCCCCGCCGCAGCCCCGAGCGCGGCGCAGGCCCCGCGGCCAGGCCGCGCTTTGTTCCCTGGGCGGCGGCGGAGCTGCACGGGGCGGCGGCGGCGGCGGCTGGCCGGCTGCCTCGCGGCCCTGCCGGGCACCGAGCGGCGGCGGCCGGGCCCGGCGGCGGTGGCCGGGGGCAGTGCGCGCCCGGCCTCCCCGCGCGGCGCCGCCTCCTCGCCCGCCGCGGGCGGGCTGCCGGCTGCCTGGCCGCTCGCTGCCCTGGCCCCTCGCGGGTCTCCGGCCGGGGGAACCGCAACAGGTCCGGGCATTGTTCGCCCCGGCGGCGGGGTGGGGGTGCGTGGGGATGGGGGGGCTCCTGGGGGACCACCGCCTTTGTGTGGGCGCCGCAGGGCGGCGGCTCCCTGCCGGCCCCGGGCTCCGGGGAGCTCCGTCGGGGCTCGCCCCGGGAGCCGCGGCCCGGGCGCTGCCTCGGCGTGGAAGCGCTGCCTGGTCGGGAGAGGTGATTCACGGCCAAAGCAGGGGCTGCTCAGAGCCGTGGCTGCCGTTTCTTTGGGTTTTTGGCAAGTCTATTGTCTAGCGATTTTGCCTTTTCTCCCTCCGTAACCGTAGCGTCTCTTGATACCCGCTAACAGAGCCTTTCAGGCAGATGGTTGTGGGCAGGAGATGCTCTGAAGTGCTCTTAAACAGTGTGTCACTGCGTGGATGCAACTGTTTAAGACGTGTGGATTGCTGCAGTGTGGCACTGTGCTTCATGAATTTCTTTCTTCCTCTCAGTAAGCAAAACTGGCAGTACTTACACAGATTGGTGTTAATAGATGCTCTCGTCATTTGGTCTTTCATCTTCATCCCAAAGGAAATACTGGTCTGCTGCCTTCTTAGCACTGCGGTGCCTGCATTGTCCTAACGATTGGATGCTGACTCTGTTCCCTCATTAAAATTCACTGTCACAAGGAAGCACTGCTTTTTCCCCTTCCCTGTTCCGTGATATCTGATAAGGTTCAGTGCATAGTAAATAACAAATACCATGATTACATTACGGGACAGCTATGGGGATGAACTTGTGTGCTAGTAAGTGCTCTAATTTTTCTGAATGTATGTCTCTTTATAGTCCTAGTGACATTGTCCGTGCCAAGCACAAACTTAATAATGATGGAAGGGGGAAGGTGGACCACAGAGTAGAACTGAAGCTTGGTCAGAGAGGCCTGCTGCTTGTGCTTTGTTTTGTGAGGAAGAGCAAAACAAACAGAACTAGAGACAATTACAGTGTTGCTTCTAGTGATGGCTCTGGGGGGTTTGCACAATTCTTTATAGCATAAAATGTTGCATCTTGAAGAATCCGGTGAAATCATCCTAGCCAACTGTTTTTCTTAAAGTAACACGGTTGATGTTTTATTCAGTTTAGATTATCTGTAACATTGCTTTTCCGAGAAATGGAAATTAAGAAAACTTCGAGTGTCTTATAGGAAACAGTACCCTGATGTCTCCTTGCATCATAAGCTCTAATTCTCAATTAGCTTTGGAATCATATTGCTCAGTAAAGCTTACAGTAAGAAGGGAAATGCACATGTTTTTGGTGTTGATTGCTGTTTTCCAGCAGCAGGGGTAAGGTAAATTTCAGGTCAGTGTCAGTTTGCTGCTGCTGGAGAGGGAGGGGAATGGGAGGTACTTGTGGAAGATACTAAATCTGTCAGTGGTGAGCTTACTCATGATGATGATGCTATATGACTGGCAAAGTTTTTAGGAGTAGAGCGTGAAGAGGAATAATTTTATCCCCTGAGTGATAATGACTCCTTGGGGAAATAAGGCACACTTATAGTAGGCAGCTCCTGATAAAGTAGGCAAAGCCTGCACAAGGATCTAGCAGTGGCACAGGTCTTCCCCAGCATCTTTGCTCAAGTTGTCTTGGGCACTTACTATTGATATTATTGTTCCTGATCTATGGGTGTGTACTATTGCTTTCTGTCTATCTTTCTGGTGTATTTGCCTGACTGGCAAATTTCTGGTAATATCTCTCTTTATGAACTTAAAACTTGTTTTGAGAGAGTGCTGTAATAGCTGCTGCTGCTGAATAAATACCTGTGAAATGTGTTCAATGTATTGGCTTCACCTGTGATACAATAAACACAGATCTGCGTTGTTGGATTTTATTGTTGGGTGGAGTTTGATCATGGCTGCAAAATTTCATGCAAGTCTTGAAGCATTTGCTAAGGTTTTTCATTTAATGCTGATCTCTTAATTCTGCATTTTCTAATACATAGAGGGATTATATCGAGTTCAATTTCTAATTTACTTTTTTAGTATTAGTTAACTTAATTTGTCGGAATACATTCATCTTCTTTTCACAAAAAAAAAAAAACAACAAGCAAACAACAACAGTGTTTTCATTTTGGCTAAAACATTGTGTAGATTACCTCCGCTAGAAAGCGTGCTGCAGGGATTCTGGTTCTTGTTGCTTTCCCACTGCTTCTGGTGCTGCCTCAGGAGCATTGCCTGCTAATTATAAACAATGTTGATGTCTACCATATGTTTTGGTAGAAAATATGGGATTCCTGCTGTCCTACTCAAGTTGGATGCATATAAGTATTTGTGAATGTGTAGTGGAGAAGTTGTTTTCCTTATCACATAACTTTCTAATAAACCCTTGTTTTCAGTCCCAAAGGAAATAAAATTTTAGTTTCAGGATTCGTGTTGAAAAATATGGTCAAATAAAAATGTATTTTTTAAATTTAAACTTGCAGTATCCAGGATCTGGAGCTCAAACTTTAACGCCTACAGAAAGTGGTGTATTCCAGTACCAATGGTAAGAAAGATCAATCTGTTCTGAAAAGTAGATTGTTAAAAACTTCATGTGACTTACTTGGGTCTTATGAAGCTGATGAATATGCTGTGTTGAAAACTCTTTGCAGCTGGTGTTACACGAACTTCTTTTTAAGCTGTTACTTTTGTGTTTAACTTACCTACTTGTTTTTTCATCTTGTGATGTTTTAAAATCTTTAAAACCTGATATAACTAAACTGAAACTTGAGATACTGAAGTTATGCTCGCAGTTTGTCTTTGGCATTATAAAGTAGTGCAATTATTGTCTCATAGTGTTAGTGTTTCTGAGCAGTGCTCTCAAATGTAGAGGATGCTTACTCAAGAGAATGGAGACACCTGCATTCTAAAGAGAGCTGTGATTGTGGGTGAGAATAAGGACAGGAGTTCTAAAAGCATCAAGGTAAATTGTTTCTGCTCTGCTAATGATAAGCCTGTGTACAGAAGAAAAATAAGAGACTTGAGCAAGTAGAATAACCCTCTGGCAAGACTTCTTAGTCTTAGACTAAATGAGAATGAGAGATCTTGAAGTGAAGATATCCTTATGGGAGACACTAAACTCAACAGGAAACAAATAAAAATGAATATGGAGTGTTGTTTTCCTGTTTCGAAGAGAGAAGACAAGCTGCAGCGTTTTTGGACAAGCTGAAGTTTGGAATGCTAGGACATAACGTGTTAAGGAAATTACAATAGTTAAGAGGTGTTGAAGGTGTGACTTAGGGCTTTGCAGCAGCAATGATTCCAGGGAGATAGATGTAGTAGGCACATGAGAATGCAGAGACAAACTCTGCGTTCTCATGTGTTGGCAGAGTTGACTTTGAGATGTGTTCTTAGAAAGGTATCATTAAAGGATAAATATATACCAGACAAAATAAGGTAAAAAAAGGGAATCATAGGATAAATGGATTTGATGTTAACATACTGTTTTGGTCATTAAATTGCCTATATGGCTGAACGAAAATAAATGGACATTCTTAAGGGAGCGGGTCAGAAATAACATCAAATACATAGATGAATGGTGCTGTGGCTTATACGGTATTGTGTATTGATGAAAACAATAGTTTCTAATCAGTATAAACTTAATGTATACTCATACTCTTGTCAGTTTTTCCCTATGCTAGCATAGTATTCGCAAATTCTTTCATGATATGTTCTAATTCAGCCCTAGTTCATGTGTTTTACACAGATACTTGTTACATCTATGCTTCAGGTAGCAGTTTTGAGCTTGGTTTTCATGTTCTCTGAAATGTGTGACCATCTGTTTATGATGGTGGAATACTGTATGTTTTATTGTGAAGGAATGGAAGAGAGGTGCTGCGGTTACTGCAGGTGGTTGCTGTGGCCAGGTTCTCTTGTGGTTTGGAGCTGGAACATTCAGGATTTTTCATATGAGAACAAAATTGAAGATAACTGTTCAACTTAAGGAAAGATTTAAGATTTATTTCTTTCACACAGTAACTTAAGGCCAGCACAGTTATTTTGTATAGCAATGAATCTGTAGTTCTGAAATATTTTGAAACTTACAAATGTGCATGGAAGCTATTTATGGCCCAGCTCTGGAATATTTCAATCATCTATTTTACTTTCATGTTTGGTTAAGATTAGCAAAGTTCTCAAATTATTTATTCCTTCTGTAGGGATTTTAATTGTCTTCATTGTGTCTACCTTCTGTGCTGTGCAGTGGGGCTTGAGGAAGGAGGCCACTCCCATATATATTATTTGTAAATACAGAGGAAATTATTCATGGTGCTTTGAGGCCCACATGCAGATTTATTTTGGAGCTAGTAACTTTGTTTGTCAGATATCAAACATGAAGTTTTAGAGATGCATAAACAGTCTCTTTGTTAGCCTCTCATTTCTTTCTGTTTAGGCTTAGTTTTCTCCACCTAAAAAGGCTAACTGCTTTTGTCTGCTCTGCTTATGTCTGTGTTCCCCACTCGACTTTCCTCTCAAACAACCCCTTGGCCCCTGCCCCAGACTCTATCTGGCTTTCAGTTTAGAAGAGCATTTCTTTTTGCTTCCATGTAATTGCAGTGACATTATACTGGGCTGAGAAGTGATTCTGAGGGCCTGAGCTGCACGTACTTGTAACCAATGCCAAGTATGTGTATTGTTATGAAGTTGTAGAACTAGATTGTTTTCTTGCACAAATGTGATAAAAGGAACAAGAAGTTCTAATCTGGCACCCCCAGAGAAAAGTTATTTTTCATTTGCTCTAGACTGCCAACAGTTGCACTCATCGGTGCAGCTGTTTGTCTTTTGACTTTGTCTTTTGATACAGCTGTTTATGGTATTGTCCAACCCCTTTCCTCCTACTGTCTATTTAGTTAGCTTTATAAAGTACTGAAGGCATAAGAGCTCTCTGATCTTTCATCACTAACTGGTTTTGGCCAGTTATTTAAAGAACTAGTGATAAGGGATTTGTTTTGGCCAGCTCTTTCATGCAAGCTTTTATGGTGGTTGGTTTGTTTTTCTCTTTTTCAGTAGAGGGAGCTAGAGGAGTCTGTCAGTTTATTCTATTATTCTATGATTTATTTTTTTACAACCTGAAATTCAAACCATCTCTGTGTGGGAGTTTACAATCTACATGATTTCTGTTATGTTTCCACGTGGTTTCCAACTAAGTAACATTTTAAGAGCTGAACCTGTGTTTTTTATGGTAATTAGCGAAGTGTCATGAGGGAGGAAAAAAATGTTTGTGCTATGCTTTGAACATAACATTTCAACTGACCTATTGGGAAGTAGGAAGGAATGGAAGAAGCCATCCCCCAAACTGCCTCGCTTCGCTTATTCTATGGTGCTCTGAAGTGAGTTGGGACTGTTGCAGATGACTGCAGCTTCTACTGCATTGGCTGCCTGTTGCAAGGGAGGGAATAAGGTAGACCAGAGTCTTTTGCTGCTTGGGGAAACATCCTAAAAGAGCCAACTATGGAGTTCTACAGAAAGGTGAACACCAGGCTGCATAGTCCTGTGCTTGCCCTTATTCTGTGAGATGATTGAGGTATAGGTACCCTGTGTCCTAACTGTGGGTTGCTTGTTAAATTGTTTGTGCTCTTCCTCTTCTTTCTCTCTGACACTTCCTCCAAGTCTGAGGAAAAGCTCTCATTCTGTGAAATGAATGGGTGACAGAGATCAAAGTTAAAACTTAGGAGCACCTCTTCTCAGATTGCATAGTTGCTCTTACTCACTTGTTCTCCATTTGCTTGCTCACCATTCATTAAATTGCTCATCACTTCGTTTTGCCACTCATCGTTCATTTCACTGCTCACAGAATGTTGAGGGGGAGGAAGAGGGTGGGAAACGAATATTGAAGATGGATTAAATAGAGGAAGTAGTTGTTAGATGCAGCTCTTCTAAATTTTGTTGCTAGCTGTAGTTAATTGACGAAGTGTGTAAGTTAGGACTTCAATGTCCAGATGAAAATGGGGCAGGAGAAATTGAGTACTCGTTCCCAGTACATTTGATATGTCTGCGACAATGTGCTTTTTGATGGCTTGGCAAACTGTTAACACAAATTTAAACAAAAGTTGGGCATGTTTTCCAATTGGCATTCATCTGCTGTCACGAGTTGCTGAGTTAAAGTACTAATTGCGTGTCTGTAATGTAACTGGCATTGTATGATTGTGTTTTGCTTTCAAAGTAAATACATTTAAATACTGATGAAATCTGAGTCTATAGTTTTTATTTTTTAACCCCTTAGTGTGAATTAACAGTTTGTGGAAGATCGGGAGTATTTTCTTTCGGTACAATTTGAAAATCGGGCACAATGTAAAATTTTAGTATGCCTTCTCTTTTCCTCTGATTTGGTCAAGAAGAATAATCATTTTATGACTGAACAAAATGGTTGGAAACAAAAATTATCTCAAAATGCAGGTTTTTTCTTTTTCTGATATCTTAAAAGACTCTGACACTTAAAAATAAATGAATAAGTAGTTGCTCCTAATATGCTAGTTATCTGCATTTGAGTACCTAAGCTGATGTTCATCTACCAGGTTTTATGGTGAATTTGAAACTGTCCAGCTGAGTGACCCAGTTCTGTGTGCTCTTTAATTAGAGACAAAGGTAACGAATGTTTACAGTCTTCTCTAACTCTTTGGGTAGGTTTAGTGTTCTCAAATTTCCCTGAGGTATCAGTGCTGGAGATACTGTGTCCTTCTCGACTTTTTGCCACTTATGATGTTGTCTCGCCCATAGCTTTAAAGGAAGGTGGAATAATAATCTATGTAGATGATTGTGATATTCAGTTTTCTCTCTCGCACATGAGGTTTGTGTTGAATGTATGAACTTTCTTTTAAAATCTTATCCAGGTTGTTTGGGCTAATACTTTGTGGGTTGAAGTTAATGTCTGAAAGAACTTGCATGCTGGTTTCAGGGAATGAAGCTGTTAATTTTGAAGGCCTGCAATTCTGAAGTTGATTTAAAAAAAAAAAAAAAAAAAACACACCTTCGCCCTATACGATTGAGGCTTTTTTTTTTTTTTTTGCAGTACTTCAGAATATCTATTGTTATTTGTGCTATTGTTTGTGCCTGGACTTGCAAGCTGCTACAGTTTTGAATGTAGCTGCCCATCTGCTCCTTGGTTATTTATAGGCAAATCTATGGAACTCCTTATAATCTCCCAAGTCTGCAAAATGTTAATGAATTAAACATCACAATACTCCTGTAAAAAGGGAACTAATGTATAACATCTCCATTTTACAGATGGGGAGATTAAATGAAGACTAAAAAGGATAAATGACTTGCTGAAAGCCATATGTATATTTCATAGCAGAACAAGGAATGGGAACCAGATTTTTTTCTGAGTTTTGGTCCTGTTTAGCAGACCAGCCATGTTGCATTGTCTGATACGTGAAGAGAAAATGATGAAATTACCTGTTCTTTGAAACTTGCAGTAGATACTCATGAACAGACTAATCCATTTAAGGATCTTGCTCTGTGTACTATGCTGAACATTTCAATTCTAACAACTCTGAGTAATTGTGTGTG